AGTCCCTCCCCTTCCGGGGGACCTCCATGGGACCTTATATCGGAAAAATAATGTATTGAAGTCAATGGGGAGAGAAAGATTATCTTTCGATCCCGTTTGAATTGTGCCACGAATTACACATATGATGTTTGTCAATTTAAAATATAATTTTGCAAGTCAATTTTTTTTAAATGTGTCCGCTCAATGAACTACATCTCCCATCTCACACCACACACCAAGACGGCCGTCACGTTGGCACATTTCCCTTCTTTCTTTCAGAATGAGGCGAAAAGTATTAAAAGAGGTGAAAATCACTCCAAGTCTGGGCATGTTGAGAGCTGTACATACACACAAGGGGAGTTAGTCGGTTCCGTAAGAGCCAGCATGCGGGACCGGGATTCTGGGATTTGTAGTCTTTCTAGTTGCGTATTTTTCATAGTCTTATATTTCAACAGTTTTACAACAAACTGTGACTTTTTTTGACATGGAAATGATTTTTTAAGATTGACAAACATCATATGTGTAATTTGTGGCACAATTCAAACGGGATCGAAAGATACGTTTTCTCTCTCCATTGACTTCAATACATAATTTTTCCGAAATAAGGTCCCATGGGTCGGAAGTAGATGGGCGGGGCTTCACCTCTCTATGGATTAAAACAGATCATTGAAGTAGAACATCTCCATATTTGAGTGGCTGAAAGCATTTCTGATACTTTAAACAAACATTTATCAATTGTTTGCCTTTGTTGTNGAAATGATTTTTTAAGATTGACAAACATCATATGTGTAATTCGTGGCACAATTCAAACGGGATCGAAAGATACGTTTTCTCTCTCCATTGACTTCAATACATAATTTTTCCGAAATAAGGTCCCATGGGTCGGAAGTAGATGGGCGGGGCTTCGCCTCTCTATGGATTAAAACAGATAATTGAAGTAGAACATCTCCATATTTGAGTGGCTGAAAGCATTTCTGATACTTTAAACAAACATTTATCAATTGTTTGCCTTTGTTGTTGTTAAAAAGTCTCCCAGTTGTATATATACCATACTCATGGATAAATTAACCTATACATATATGAGTTATATGTTGTATTACCTAATAAACTAAAAAGTAACTAGTAACTTAAAGCTGTCAAAAGAAGTAAAGAGTACACCATTGTCTTCTGAAATGTAGTGGAGGAGAGTATAAAGTAGCCTAAAGTGTGAATACTCTGGTAAAGTACAAGTACCTCAAAATTGTCCTTAAGTACAGTACTTGAGTAAATGTACTTAGTTACTTCCCACCTCTGCAAACCGTAATGTTAAACAAATACTGAAAAATGTTCTCCCAACAACATTGCCGGAATTTATATTAATACAATTCGGTTCGTTGCTTTATTAACCATTCATACCCAGCCAGCATTAGCTACATTAGCCAAAATGATAAGAAAAGCATAGGAGGAAATGCTAACCGTTGCTAACGATAGCATGTAGCATTTACAAAGATATGTGAAACAACAGGAAATAAAGGCAGCAGCTTTTATTTTAAGGTGTTCCACTAAAACACATGCATGGTTAATTCATTGAATATGACAACAGCGAAAAGGAATTGCTTCTAAATAACTGTATAATAAAGAATAAACTGGAAATGTAGCATATTTCTTTACCTCTGAAATCCACCGACGCCATGACAGATGTAAACAACAGCCTCACAAAGAGGACGTCATCAGTGTGCATCCGATCGTAGTTGGATGACGTCTTCATCTTTTAATTAGTTAAAATGGAATAAAATGAAGAAATAAAGCAATGGAAATGCCTTTTAATAGAAGAATAAAGTGTGCTTAGACATAACAGCATAATAATAAAACAAATAATAGGCATGTGATGACAAGAGAAAACAAATCAATACAAAAATGCATTTTCCTTTTACAAAAGTATAAGACATAATTATAATTTGATAAACAAAATAACTTAGGAGAATAACTCAAACTACATAAACATAATTTGATAGCAACAGGAATTTGATAAACTCTTACATTAAATTGTATTAAAGAGTTGTTGAATTTTTGAGAATTTATTTTTGAGAATTCATTTATTGAAGGATAGCCCCTTGAGATGTAACATTTCATTTTCAAGGAGGTCCTAAAGCATATTATAGCATTGTGAATTAGCATATTTCTTGGCTATCTGGGTCTCAGTTAAAGGCGACAACACGCAGTTTGAGTATTGCCCAATCCAATGCAACAGCTTTCAGGGTCACGGTTCTTATTTCTGATCTGCAGCATTTGCTCCAGAGAGACCAAATTCCAAAGACACACCCAGACAGCTGAGGTTTCACCAACCTGAGAGTGTGACAGGACATTTTAAGCATGCTCACACACACATACACATACACATACACACACACACACACACACACACACACACACACACACACACACACACACACACACATACACACACACACACACACACTGTTTTATTGTAACAAATGAGAGGCTGTTTTTTTCTAAGGGGTAAAAGGGGACGAGCTTATTCATCACCTGGCTGTCAGCTCCCCTTTCAATAACACCATTACCCTGCAGAAACCCCGGTCTGATGACATCAGCCTGTCATTAGTGTGTGTGTGTGTGTGTGTGTGTGTGTGTGTGTGTGTGTGTGTGTGTGTGTGTGTGTGTGTGTGTGTGTGTGTGTGTGTCATCTGAATCTCCTCCTAGAGCACCATTGTGTTCTTTTTAACCAAATGTCTCTCAGAGGGGCGTGGGGAGGGGCTCCTTATTTTCATCTAAAGTAACAGGCAGAGAATCAGCACTTTGGAAACAGGGCTGAAACAGAGGGGATTATGGGTAATGCTGCAATGATCTGTTTGGTGTTTGGAGCCAAACACTTCAGAGACATGTTCTGTATATATCTGAGGCCTATAATATATTGATGAAAAACAGTATAACAGGGGACCTTTTAATACAAATGATTTGATTGATAAGACGCACAGAAAACAAGAACATATCAAATATCTGTCGCTTTAAGGAAACAGGAAACAAATGTATTAAATATTGGTTGCATAGTTATAATTAATGCATTGACGTATATATTGTGTGTGTGTGTGTGTGTGTGTGTGTGTGTGTGTGTGTGTGTGTGTGTGTGTGTGTGTGTGTGTGTGTGTGTGTGTGTGTGGAAGAGGCTGCTGGCTGCTGGGCGAGAGACGACATGCTGGATGATCTTTATCTGATTCATCCGAGTGGAGATGGCTGCATTCCTCCGATGATTTCAGATAATAGCGTGAGACTGAGAGAGGAAGGAGGATGGCAATGGCATCGTTATTTTCAAATAAAGCAGCTTTTATGACAGCAAGAAATCAGACTAATTAGGCATTTTTCATATATTCTTTAATTCTATCAGGGGTTTATTTGGCTATAATTAATATGAATGCAAGAAAAGGAACACAACATGGTGGAAAGATCTTATTTAAGACCCAGAACTAATGACAATATCTCCCTTATAGATACATTGGGTTGTGTCATTCACATAGGAAACTACAATCATGTATTGACACAAATAATATACCATTATTTGTGATGTAGTTCAACCCTTACATATTTTGTGCTCATTATCTTGTATTATTTGATGTTGTTTTACCCCCCCCCC